GCCTCATGGAACTTGGGCTAAAGGGGGAGAGAGGTGTTCACAGCCACCCCCCGGGGGCCGGCCTCAGCAGCAATGAGTAATGGGAGTCAGAAACCGGCCTGAGTACTAATTCTGTCTAGAGGAGATGGGGGCTTGGCATTTTCTTTAATCCTAAATGCAGTAGGTTTTAGTAGAAATTGTATGGGTGCCTGAGTCAGAACAACCTAAGGTTCAACTTTTAGCTCCGCCACTTACTGGCTTTGTGAGTGTAGGTGAGTAATGTGACCTCTGGAAGCTTCTGTATATGTAACTGACACCTACCTCCCAGCTGTGATCACTAAATGAGATAGGTCAAAACCACAGTCTAGGCTATCCTGTGGCTCACAACATATGCTCAATAAAGTCAACCTGCTTTTTCCCCAGCTAAGTTCCCTTAGCCTCTCAGTGAGCCTGGCTAGTGGTCTGGTGCTATGACACAAAGAAAGAAAATGAAGGGAGGCCTGGACTTGAGATCTGATCACTGGGGTTTCTACCAGTTTCTCCCAGCATGGCTCCTTTCCAAGACACAGCAGAGAGATGCCAAGCTCTCCAGAAGGAAACTAAGGAGGAGGAGACTTTCTAAGTACCTACCCTGTGCCTAATGCTTGCTCAGTGCGGTGCCTTGATTACGATGCTTGGTAAACTTGTTTCCAGCCAGAGCAGTGATGTCACAGGGCAAGGCCACAACTAATTGCTGCGCAATGAAAGCCAGGGAGAAGAGGATGGAGACAGGAGTGGGGCCTCTGGGGTGCCTGGCTTGGCAGCTGAGAAAGTGGGAGCAAGAGGATGAAGGAAATACTAGATGTAATAAACATGGGGGCAAGTGAACACGAAGACAGATGTGTGACTCTGAGGTCCACTCCTGGCACCCACCTTCACAGCACAGGAACCCTACAGAAACATTCACCTGCTGCTGGAATATTCCTAGGACCAGGGACCTCACTACTCTCTGAGAGCTGTCCTGTCCTCCGAAGTGCAGCTCAGGTGGTTTCAAATTTCTTTCTGATATTGAGCCCAGATTTGCCCTCTCTTGTCATAAAACTTGAGCCTTTCTTGTAATCCTGGGTTAGCCTGTAAAGTAACTGGAGGCAATTAATACACACCATCCCTCAATCTTTACACCCCTAGGGGCTGTGAAAGCAACACTTCATCCTCACAGAAAATGCCTCAATGTTGCTTCCTGAGTCTCACACAAGCCCTGAGATGTTGGTAGAGGATGGTGATCATTTCCACTTTGCAGAACAGAAAAATGAGTCTCAGAAACTCGAAGTGATTGGCAAAGATCACACCCAAAGTGAGGAAAGAATCTCAGGGGGAGTCTGATCATTCCTTTCAATTTCTGAACCCATGTTTCATGTGAAACAAATGAATGTTGATGCTAGCTTATTAATTTGACAACTCATGTGTCCCTTCCATTTACCACTATGCCAAACTTTTAAGTCTCTCTTTTGAAGGCCAAAGAAAGTTCTGCTAGAATCCATTGACTGGTTATTACTGATAATTAGAAAGTCTTTTATGTTTAATACAACAACATAAAAGGGTTTTAAACTGGACAATTATAGGGTGAAGAATTCTTTTTCAGCCATAAGCATATTACACGAGCTGGGAAGGAGGGGAGGGGAGAAGACAACGGCTGGGTGTTTCTCATGTGACAATGACGTGAGGCATGCAAAGGTTTAGGTCCGTGTCATTGAAACAGTTGACCATGAAGGTTAAGTCTCAGCCAAGTTCAGTGTTGTGGGGCATAACAGGGTCTGAAAGAGGCACTTCTGCAACCTGTGAATGCACCATTCCATTCTTGAGGTCCCCCTGCAGAACCAGAATCATGTTCAAAGGCTAACAGAGTGCAAAAAGCACTAAATAATGGATGTGGTAATGGGCTGCTTAGCAGACATCTTCCTCCCCACTCAGGAATGTGCATTCCTGACAACCCCAACGAGGCCAGGATGTCTGTCCAAAGAACATGAGCAGCATTATCAGCTGGCCGAAAGGAAGACTACCTTCATGTCCCCTGTTTCTTCTAGAAGGAAAATGATGATAAATTCATCAGTTCTGAGTGCTGCTAAGCAGAGGCAGTGAAAACTCAGGAGCCCAAAAGACCTCAGTGATATGCCCAGAAGGTACTTTGCCTGCCCACGTCCTGTTCATCCTTCAAGGCTCTGTCCAAGTGATACCTCCTTCCTCTCTGTCTCTCTAGCCAGCTAACATTCCCTATCAGCCAGCATCTGTGCTATTGGAATTCAAAAACCTCAGCATAAAAATAAAGCCTGCGTGCAAATCTTCCAGGTGCCTTGACTAGGAAGCGAGGAAATGTATATTTTCGGGAGTGGGATTAATCCTTCTCTTGGTTCCGAGTCCTAGGAAAGGGTGGAGGGGAGCGTAGTATGACCCTAAGAGCAAATCTGCTAGAAGAAGGGAACATTATAGGTCTGGATTAAAACAAGCCAACAAAAGCATCCTAATATGTTATTTATGAAAGGGGAACAAGAAAGGTACAAGTACAGTTTAGCACCCCAAGGTTATTGGGCCTGGTGGGGTAAACTAGCGCATGGATGCATGAAGGTGGGGGAGAAGGAAGAGAGGGAATCGGCTTTCTCTCTGGACCTGCAGCCCAGCTCAAGACAAAACTGTGCTCCCATAAGTTGAAGCACTGAGGTGGGTAAGACCCATAAGAAATGCAATGGATTCTAACTTTTGTGCCAAACTCTAGAATCCAATACACCAAAAGTGACACCTCAGTGAGAATATCTCTGACCACGGAAGGTGACAATGAGCCAGGGACTGAGTTCTACGACAGAGGTTTTGGGGCTGCAATCAAGGATCCTATTGGCTTCAAGGCCCACAAAAATTTACATGGGCACATGTGTGGGTTTTTTTGTTTTGTTTTGTTTTTTCATGGGGAAAGAGTATACCATCAAAAGCTCAAAGAGATCCCAAGTCCCCAGAGGAGTTACTTTAGAGAGTAATGATTAGAAGTGATTCCTGTCCTCAAGGAGCTCACAGAAAAGAAGAAGAAACAAATAGAATAGAACAGCTCATGCTGTTGAATCCCTATTCTGCACCAAGCCCTCGGATGATTCACAGCCTTCGGCTCATTTAGTCCTTAACACAAACACTCTAAGGCAGGTACTGTCTGTCATTAACCCCAAAGCCAAGGCCTTTAAGAAAATCAAAGTCATCAAAAGGAATGAAATCTTGCCATTTGCAACGACGTGGATGGAACGGGAGGGTATTATGCTGAGTGAAATAAGTCAATCAAAGAAAGACATGTATCATATGACCTCACTGATATGAGGAATTCTTAATCACAGGAAACAAACTGAGGGTTGCTGGAGTGGGGGGTGGGGTGGGAGGGATGGGGTGGCTGGGTGATAGACACTGGGGAGCTTATGTGCTATGGTGAGCGGTGTGAATTGTGTAAGACTGTTGAATCTCAGATCTGTACCTCTGAAACAAATAATGCAATATATGTTAAGAAAAAAAAAAGAAGAAGAAGAAGGTAGCAGGAGGGGAAGAATGAAGGGGGGGAAATCGGAGGGGGAGACGAACCATGAGAGACTATGGACTCTGAGAAACAAACTGAGGGTTCTAGAGGGGCGGGGGTGGGGGGATAGGTTAGCCTGGTGATGGGCATAAAGAGGGCACGTACTGCATGGAGCACTGGGTGCTTTATGCAAACAATGAATCATGGAACACTACATCAAAAACTAATGATGTAATGTATGGTGATTAACATAATATAATAATATTAAAAAAAATCGAAGTCAAGGGCTCACATGGATTCATTAAGAAAAAGTAACAATGCATTGTTATCACTGCAAAGAGGAGCACAGTGGTCTCCAGGGGCGGGGGGGGGGGTTGGAGGTTTACTCTGGGGTAAAGAAGGCTTCCCAGAGGAGGTGTGCAATTACCTAGCATACTTGCACTCCCCGGCTCGGTGAGAACTATTTGCCGTGCGTCGCTTGTAATGACAACACACGTGCAGGGGTGCCTTCTGTTTGGAGGATTAAAGGACACATTCATGTAAAACCCTCAACAGAGCATATGGATTAGATTAAATGAGGACATTTTCGTGTGCCTCTCTGATGAGCGCATATTCCCTAGGATTCCTTTGTGCTCTGAAAATCCCTCACAGGGTGGGGTCCAGAACCAATAACAATGTCCCAGATAGCGTCATTCAGCCTCACAACAGTCCGATTAGGGTTGGAGCTGGAATTTCTAAGGGTCTGTCTTCACAGCCTGTGTTCTTTCTACTCATTACTGAGCTGAGATCAACAGTGACTAAATACCCTAGTTCTTTTTACAGGGGCCGTGGCCAAGTCATACGTCCTCCGGAGCAAAAGTTCTGAGGCTGCCTTCTGAGGGCCACCTGGAGGTCCTATATATGAGCCTGGCCTCGCAGTGGCATGGGGCAGTGTCACAGAGCTTGAGATTTCCCATTTCCAGGAGTCCCTCCAGCTGATGGGGTCTAGAGGTAGTGGACCTCCTGAGTTCTTAGAAAGCCCACTACACATGGCCTTTTTCACAGTGGTCTGTCCACTGGCTGCACCCTCACACACGCCAAAGGCCTTGGCCAGCTCTTCGACTGTCCCTCTGAGACCCGTCAACTACTTTTCAAACTGGATGGCAACCCTCTTCCCAGGATCGAGACACTGCCCCCTATCTGACCATGTATAACATAGTCTTTGGCGGGAGACTTTTGCTATTGCACACCTGAGACCTTGAGGCCCTCAGACATAGTGGTTTGCACAATTCAACTCACTGCCACTCATGGGGCCAGACCTTGGTCCAGACTGGCACCTCTTCCTCAGCCCCACCATTTCCACCTTATGCCTCCTTCCCTCCGACTCACTGAGGAGTTCTTAGCATGTCACCAGTTGTGACACTTATATCCAGAAGAGGGGTTCTTTCCTCAGGTGGTAGACACAGTTTCACATGAATGGGGGTTACAGGAACCTGGCAGAAGAAAGAAGGTATACTTACACTTACAGGTTGACTTTTTGGCACATCATAAACACCTTCCTTCTTTTGGCTGGTGGGAACCTGTGGAAAAACCAAATTCAACACAGTCAAAACACTTTGATATTCCACTTTCAAAGAACAAAGCAACCCCACTCCAACTCCAGGCTGGCTGAGTGTGGAGGAGAACAGCCCCCGAGGCCCGAGGTTCCCAAATCAAAGGCAGGCCAGGCCCCTTCCCTAGGGACAGCTGGATGAGGGAGGAGTGTGTGAATCACTTCATTAATGTCTGCAGGGGGTCTCTGCCACTGGGCTCCTCACAGAATCACAGAACAGGAGGCTGCAGAGACGTCTCCTCAGGGGTCACATGGTGGATAAAAGTCATCCTTGTTTCACCAAAGACAGAAATGGGACCCAGAAAAGTGTTCTGACTTGTGCGAAGTGATTAAAATTAGTTTGTGGCTGAGCTTAAGCTGCTTGGTGCACAGACTGAGATCCAGGTTATTTAAAATATAGCAAATATCAAGGTCTCAGTATCAAGAATGGCTTCTGCTGGGATCGTAGACAAGCCACGTGATATTCACCACAAGTTTTTTTTCCAAGAAAAGGGGTCATCAATGGCATGAAAAGCGTAAGACAAGAATCCGGAAAATCTCAATTGTTTTTTAATATGTATCTGTATTTTCTTCCCTCCCTCTCTCCTCTGACTCATCCATCTGGTCTTACTGGGCCACTTGGTAACTTATCACCCCGTGCGGGTCACTTAGCTCCTCTGAGCTTCACCATTATAAAATGGGTGCTATTGGCTCTGCTTCTCGTTTGGGTTATTGTGGGGATCAAAGGAGAAAAGAGATGATAAATAAAAACTATTAGGACCTAAAATACTGTAAAGTGTTAGAATGATGGCTTCTTTCACCACTAATACATTATACAAGCAAGTATAAGAACGTATTCTGTCCTAACACTAACAACAGTAGACATGTTGAATACTTTTCTAATGAGTCAATCAAGGGCTTTACACTGAAACATTCTGGCTTGAAAGCAATCACTCATGCTTCCCAGCACCCAGCACAGGGCAGCTCACACCGCCATCAGATGCCTCAGCCTGTAGTGATTTTACAATTGTCTGCTAATCTGTGTTCCTTTTCACGAGACTTGGAGCTCCTCAAGAGCAGGCAAGGTGCCTGCAGCTCAGTAGGCATTTGGTAAATGTCTTCTGGGTAAATGTATCATCAGAAATGTGGGCAACAGTGAAGAAACGGAAAAAGTGTCTTTTAGGCTTGGACCAGCCAACTCTACCACATGAAGAAGGAGGAATTTCAGCTCATTCCTCAAGTCCCCTTTGCTGTTTCCACTCTCATCAGCTTAACTTCAAATCCTTATAATAATCTTAAGAACTCGGTATTAGAATCTTCACTTTACATAGTAGAAAGTGAGGCTCAGAGATGTTAGAGAAACTCTTCCAAAGCTTCCAAGCTAGTTAAGTGATGAGATTCAAACCCAGCTCTTTCTGGCTACCAGACAAGGCACGAACTCACATTGACAGGGTGCTTTCTGTCTGCCAAGCACTGTTCTGAATGTTCGTGTTTACATGTATTCTCATGTAATCTTTGGGACCAGGCAGTTGGGTAAGGATGACAACTGTGTTGCAGAGGAGGAAAAGGAAGCAGAGGAGGGGTTCTGCAGGTGAGCGGGGCTGCCAGAGTTGGAGTCCTGGCACTTGGCCTTTTAACTACGACACTATACAGACAGTCCCCACCGTCCCCATAGCTGTTCCCACTGCTTCTTTTTCTTGGACATCACATTCTACACTCTCAAAAGGTTGTGCACATTTTTGCAGAAAAGAGGACTATGAGAGAGCATGGAGATGCAGAAAATGCACTTTCTGAGCTGCTCTTGCAAACCTCAGCTCTCAGGTAGCCAATGAAGAATGTAATTTCTTTGCTCCTGATAACCGGCCACCATCTAAAAGAAATCCTCTAAGAATGCCTACCGAGCCCTTGTTAACAAGGGCCAATAAATTACCAGCCCACACTTGTATTTTTACTAGCTCACCCTTTCCTGCGCAAAATGAACAGCATTTCTGTTCCCCGTAATTCACGGCTCACTATGGGCACTTAGCAAGTTGAACCGCGGCTGACTCTCAATTATCCCTGCAAATGGAGGAGAAGCGGCAGGATGGATAAACCCAAACTATGCATAATTGAAAAAGCTTTGCTGCTTGGCTCTCCCATGGGTGAGATATCAATCTGCCTGTTTGTCCTTTAAGATTTATGTCGGCTGGGAAGTCTTCTCGGGAGCCTTGCTTGGCTCTCTACCTGGTGGGAGCCTTCCTCTATACCCTCTGTAACCTCTGCTACAGCCTTCCACTAAAAAATCAAAGTGGCCAAGAACCTATTATGCATTGTGCTCTGTGCTTTGCCTGGGACAATGATGGCGAAAAGCTGGATATGGCCCACGATGGAATGGAGCTCCTTGTCTTACTGGGGGGAGGTGGGAAAGAAATCGGGCTACTCACATGAGCATAAAATGTGCTTTATCTTATGTGGGACCTGTCAAACCACACTGCAGCTGTAAGCTAGGGCAGGACAGATATTTCACTAGCCTGTTCCCCATCGGTAAATACGAGTTACGCAGGCAATGTTTAAGCATCAAACGTTTACCATGTGTGTGCCAAGGGCAGAACACTGGCAGAAGTGCCCGAGGGATGAAGACCAGAGGGAGCCTGGTCCGGGTTCTCCTCGCTACCTGGCTGGTCCCTTCTGCCTGTAGACCATTTCATAACATGACACTGCAGAGCGAGTGAGAACAGTTCTGAAGCAAAAGGAAGCAGGAGATCTGGTTCCTGATCCCAGCTCTGCCACAGGCTGTGGGACCTCAGAGTGTCCCTTTGTTCTCCGAATCTCAGTCTTCTCACCTAGCTGTTGGAGACATTCAAGGGGGTGCTTAGAAACTCCCAGGGGGTCAGGACCACGCCACGGTCTAGCCCATCCCCATGTGCCCGGCACACGCTAGGCGGGCCATCCATAACTGCGTTTTGAATGAAGGAGTTAATAGATGTGGGATTATTGTCAAAGCTACACGTTAACCACCGTAGGTACAGAAGACACTTTGAGCTCAGCAACATCCTAAGAGTGTTAGAGAGGCAGTTGAAGGGTTGAGTGACACAGGAGCAGAGACTTATCATTTTAAAATAACAATACTTGACACATTACGGGCGATTAAAAATGATTTTCGAACCAAGGAACGTGAACAATGCCTGTGTGGAAGGCTGCGGTCTTGCTGGCGCAGGAAGCTTGTTAACGTGCTACAGAATACCGGGTTGAGAAGCCAAGGCTCTGGCCTTGGGCCCAGCCCTTGAATTGCAGGACTTGATTTCCTTACGGTTTAAAATGATAGTCATCATAGCTATTCTTATCCTCCTGAGTTATTGCAAGGGTCAACGTTAAGTGAGGTGTAAAAACCCTTGTACCGCAAGGTTCTGTGTTGTTTGACAAAAGATGACGGATAACTTTTTCTGGTGCACGCAAAAAGAAAGACAATTATTATTATTAATCCAGTTTGGAAAATGAGACTACTGATCCTCAAAGAGAGGTTACATTTACTCAAGAGTCTCTCCCTCCCTTACGCGGGGGTTATAAATAGCAAAGTCAGGTGAGGTTGCAACTTTCTGCTAGGCTCTCTGACAGGAGGAGGCGAGCAAGTCGTGTTCTACTTCACTTAATACATCATCATAAGACATCTTGAACAGCATCGGGTACCGATGACATTCTTAGGAAGTAAAGGGAACCAACATTTACACAGAACCTACTATGTACCAAGCGCTTTACACCTTCACATCACTTCTAGAAGCAGATGACATAGCGTCCCTCATTTTATAGCCCAGGAGATTGAAATACAAAAGTTATGTACTTCGCCCAAGACCACAAAACAGCTCAAGGATTAGGCCCCAGGTGCCTCGTCTGTCCCAGTGATAAGGTCTGCCTCGTTCCACAAAATGGAACAGATGAAAATCTGAGACCACCCTGGGCCAAGCTGAAGAATAAGAAACACTGCAATCTACTCAGGAGGAATAACTATGGAACACTCACTCCTAGGCTCTTAAAACACAAAGAGGAGCCCAGATCCTAATCGCAGCTCCTTAAAAGCCCAGCCTTATCTTCAGGCCCAAGAGCTTATCTCTCCTTAAGCAAATTGAGGCTCAGCTGACTGGCAAAGCAAGAGAGGAGAACAGAGGGTGATAAAATATTCATTTCCTTAAATGGTACCTTCCTGCTAATGATGGACAGACGGGAAGATCCGGAGGTCAGAACTGTTAAAACAAGTGTGATTTTTAGATAGTGACTTGATACCTACACAGAATCCAATCATGAAACTCTGCATCAGGATATTCTGAGCTGAAAAGAACCTTGGGATTTATTTATTTACTGAGGTCAGAGAGACCTGGCTGTGAGTGAGGGGGCCACGTCTTATAGCTCTGTGACCTTGGGCAAGGCACCTCATCTGTGTGAGCCCCACTGTTCTGTCTGTAAGGTGGGAATGACGGCGCAAGCCACACAGTCTTATTGTGAGAGATAAGATATTGCATGTAGATCCCATTCACAGAGCCGGCCCACAGTCAGCACTCAATAAATGTTAAGTAGCTATAGGCCACGCGCGCGCACGCACACACACACACCACTTCTAAGAGTCTTGTTTGCCCCGTAAAGCAAGCCAACATGATTCTCTAAAGAATCACTGTCCTGTGATGAGGCATGAGTCACAAAAAGCAGCAAAGGACCCGTAGAGACTCTTCTGTCTTAGCTGCTCATTTTACAGATGAGTACACTGAGGCTCGGAGACAGAAAGGAACTCGACAAGCTGGATGAATGGCTGAGTTGGTACCTGGACTAAGATCCTGAATCCACACACTGTGTGACCCAGGACAGAGTCTCTTCTGTACATCCTTCACATGATCTTGCTTCATTCTCATTCCAAGTGTGAGTTACGGAGAAATTACTCCCCTACCTTATCACTGGGGAAAGGGAATCTCAGAGAGGGCAAGTATCTTGCCCACTACCACTCAGCCAAAGTTAGGTGGTGATGCGGCCAGAACCAGAGCCCAGTTCTCTGCCAGCCTAGAGGAATTCTTCCTGCACACAGGATGTCCCACACTCCCAGCAGTCCCCCCACAGGGCACAGTGGGAGCCCCGCCAACTACTGCTCAGTTGGAATTCAGAAACCTTGCGCTGAAAAGCCTAATTTTGTCTTGAAAGGTGTTTTTTCTTCAGAGGATGACTGGTTAATGGCTCCTTTGGCCGCATATTCAGACGCCACAAGATTGTAGTAATTTAAAATCTGACACCGAGAACAAATATGTAAGTTCTCTGTGTAAAGATCGGAAACTTTGTGAGCGATGATTTTAAACAAAACTTCAGAGCACAACCTCCCACTTGCATCCAATCCAGACAGTTCCAGGGGATAGAAATACTTCGATTATTACTCCATGGGACTGGCTTAAGCCGACTTGTTGGTAGAGCTGATGTGATACTTTGGTCATTTAGAATTCTGTGCATTAGACAGAAATTGAAAATCTGTTTTACTTTTATTACACAAGTAATGCATGCCCAAGGCAGAAAAGCAGACCGCACAACTGAGTAAATTAAGAAAATTAAAATCACTTATTAAATAAATTTTTTCCTTCTTCCATAATGTTTATGTTTCAAATTCAGGCTAAAATTCTAATTAGTGAAAAACTGGATGTTGTCATATTTGTTTGATGTGTTGCTATGGTGCAATTTCTCAAACTCTTTGATGGAAAAGCATGGGGGAGGATGTGTGAGTTTTGCCTTCACTCACAATGGGTCTGATCTCAGCTCTCAATAGCTATACAGCCCCCGGGAAGCTACTCAACGTCTCTGAGTCTCAGTTTCCCCTTGTAAAAGCGGGATTAAATACCTACTTCATAGCATGTTTGTCAGAATTAAATGAATCACAAAGTGTGTGCAGTGCTCTTCACATGAGCAGACATTTAAGAATATTAATTTACCTTCCCTTTAGGAAGGGTGAAACCTTGAGCTGTACTTTCTTTTATTCAGTTAATATTCCCAGTGCTGTTTTGCAACAGCGTTTTGAATTTGTCCTTGATTTTCAGTAGTGCAGTTGGCTTTTTAAAGAAATTTGATGAGCACCTTCTTTGGAGAAATGAAGGACCCTCCTGGATTACTTTATTCCAATGGAATGTTTGATTCTTGAGTCCACTGAAAATAGTTAAGATCCATTAACAATTAAAACACCGCACTCAACTGGCGATTGAACATTTCTACAATAAGGCGTAGAAACTACTGGTCAATCGGTAAAAGCCAATTCAGAGGAAGGTATTTGACCAAGCCTGGATGACCTAGAGCATGGAGAGACCCTGTGAGGAGCGTGCCCCAGGTTCTGGGGACCTGTCCGCGCAACGGAAGGAGGCAGTGGCGCAATGGAAAGAGAGAGAAGCGATTTTATACCTGATAAATGTTTTCTTCCGTTTCGGGATCACGGATTGGCTCGTGTCCAGCCTCAAACACAATGTACTATTATGGTGCGGCCAGAGAGGAAAGGTCAGAGGGGAAGAAGAGAGAGGGGGAAAAAAAAGGCATTTGGAATTTAGGATACAAATCACAGTGAGCATTAAAGAAACAGCTGCAGCAGAAAACACCTTCAAGAGACAAGGGGATCACTGAAACACTGCACGTGCCTTGCACACTCCTGCCTTTTCTAAGGAAGAAGGTAAGGGTCTGATGGCTGTGAGGGCATGGGACCCCGCGTATCTTTCTGGAGATGTGGCCTCTTCATGCGACGGCATTTGCTCGCAATAATATCTGCACGTGCCACGCTGCTGAGTGCGAATGACATCTCCTGGGAACATCTAGTGGCCCGACTTTGTAATCTGGGTAATAGCAATTGCCCCCCTTTGCTTCTCTCAAGCCCAACATCCTCACTTGGCCCGGAAGTGCTTACAAACCACAAACCTCCTCATCCCATAGATATCACCTGATTTTACATTCTGAGTTTTAAATATTGAAAATCGGTTTTGTTTTGTTTTTTTTCCTGTGCATGTTTCAGACTTCTAAAGGACTGGGCCATTTCAAACAGGGCAATATTCTTCAGTCTCTGTGAGTCAGTTAGCCAGGGGACGAGCTCATATCTAGACAAATCCTCACCCTCAGCATTCTAGAGGGAGGGCATGCCGTTGGGCACATCTTTGGCTTTTGTTAAAAGCCACACAGGCTAGATACTTCTACTTCAAGTTATTCGTATTATATTACTTATTTTATCCATATTATTTTATTTTTGTCACAGCTATACCAGCTTTCTATGTGGAAATAGGCACTGAATAACAATGCATGTGTCACACACACACACAACCCAGGTGTGTCCGGTTAGAAATAGAAGTTTTGGGTTTTATGTCCAACAAGTCCATTTTTTGGCTTTCTCTCCTTAGGAATAAGCATGAGTGGGTTTGGGGTTGTGGTGGGAGGCCTCCTCTTCCCTTCTTTCTGCATCTGTTTGTACAGAGCACATAGCTGGATCCAAGAGAAGTCATGTCTCTGGCCCCACCTGGGCTGCAACCTTGCAGAGTTCAGGGAAATCTATGGGCTAGGACGTCTCTAGGGTCTCCCTCACCCTTCTCCCAACAGCGCCCATGGCATGAGCTGGCTCATCAGAGGGGCCAGAGACTTGCCCCCACAGCCTTCCCAAAACTTACAAACTGCCCTGCTTGTACTCCAAAGTCACCAAAACTCAGTCCCCAGCCCTGGTTCCTAAGTCAGAGAAGCCTCCTAATGAACTTGGAATATTCAAGACACTCCCGAAAACACCCAGCTCTGCATATTTATAGACTGTGGAGGGGGCCGAGGCAGGGGCAAGAAGGGAGAAGCGTATCTCCAGATCTCACGTAATGGATGTCAGCCAAACATCTGTTTGTTTTTCATGGAAACCCAGCCCTCACCCTGGGAACTAATCTCCGTCCCTCTCCAGGCTCTGCAGTCAGGGGCTCTTCAGGAGCTCTGCAAAGTGTCTGTAGCAAGGGCCTCGCCATTCCTGACCCTAAAAACCCCGACGGCTTCCAGAAATTACCTGGTATACAGGATCTTCAACATCCTCTTCCAAAATTGTCTACAGCAGAGCGAGAGAAGGGAGGTTGAGAAGCAGAGGATATAAATAAAGGGAGAGGTATGAAACTGTATTCAGAAATTACAGGACAGTAAAGAAACCAGCTCTGGAGGGGAGAGGCTGCTGGGTCATTTCAAGTACAAAACAACCCACAAAGGAAAAACGAGCCATCTTGTAGCCACCCCCACCCCCACCCTTAACAACAGCAAAAGCAATTGTGTCTTTCTGTTCTCCTCTCCCGGAAATCTTCCTTGGAATTCAAAATTTCACTTTCTCGAACATGTCCAGGATTTCAGAGAATAAAAGATCATCTCTAACTGTGTGCTTTCGGTGCCTGTAATTTACACGGGAACCTTTCAACTTTGTTTATTTCTACTTGGCAGCAGGAGGACAAGCCCTGACTATCAGTTTTCGCGTCTGTTTATTTTAAGTCCCAATCTTCTCTAGTGCTCAGAGACATTCACGGGTATACCTGATACACAGCTTGTTCGCACTGCTTATCCTTTTGTGCCTTTTTTTCCAACTCTTCTCTTTGCTTCAATTCATAAATAAGTTGAAAGAGATCTCTCAAGTCCAGAATAACAGGTTCAGCCTGGAGTAAAAGGGGGTATAAAGTGCATTAGTAAGGGAAACGTCCTGAGCCAGAGAGGCCTGTTTCTGTTTTTTGCCAGCTACAGCCCCCGCCCTTCCTGTTCCTATTAAACTGAAAGCATTCCATCTTTAATTAATTCTACCTTGTTTATATTGGTTTAGCAAATTGCATCTAGGCTAAAGTTCATTTCTTCAACTAATTATATTTGCAAATTCATAATCATAAGCATAAAAGGCACTGCTTTTATTTATTAGTAATTTCGAATACAATAAAATTAGGGCAGGCCTTATGCAAAACAGCTATTTGTTTTCTCTTATTTTCTTTTTAAATGAGGCTATGAACACAAGGAAACTTACTTGTATAGCGGTGCCTCCATCTAACTTAATCAGAAAGGAAAATAATTAGTCATTACAAAATACATATTAGAAAAAACAACAAGAAGACTGGATGGGCCTGAGCCCCCCGTTTCCTTGCTCCGAGGCTATTTATGCTCTGGACATGGGCGCCTAAGCATCAGCATGGTCTCGACCTACATCAGAGGCGGGCTTCAAAGACCCACAGCGTGACCGGACGCACTGTCCCCTAAAGCTACTAGGAGAGGAGCCCTCCTCGGATGGGGATACTCACCGCCTGGGCTGTTTTTATGGCAACAAATCTGTGATTCCCTTCCTTCCCACAAACGTATCCAAAGGCCCGGTGATCTGTGATGTCCTTTGCAATGTAGGAAATTTCGTGAACAGCATGATGATGCTGAAGGGCCTAGTGGAGACAAAAGGAAGAGCATATTTCACGAGACTTTCCCTTCGAGCTGTTGATCCATAGGAGATGTGTTTCAGCTACGTGTGAACAGGCCCGAAGGGCTTTGGAAAAAGCTGTTGGGTCCAGATGGAAGGAAAAAGAGCCGCGCCTGCCCTTGAGAGATGGAGGCTTCCCTCCATGGTCTTAGTGCTGTGACCAGAGAGAAAAACAGGACTGCTCACATGCTGAAGGTGCATCTATCTGTGGCAGTGGCTTCCTCAGCTTGCCAGGGCCAGTCAGGATAATTCAGTGGGGCAGGCTCCGGTTGTAGCTCGCTTCAGGACACGGCCCAGGCAAAGCGCTGGTGTGATATTTAACACACTCCCACACCCCGGGCCTCTGCACGCTGTGCTGGAAGAGTGGCACTCTGTACGGATACTGGGGCGCCGTTCAAAGTCACAGAACTGTAAACGTGTGTGGGTGCCACCCTTTCTTGACAGATGGTGACAGTGTCTAAAGGAACGAACACCTTTTTGTTTGTTTTTTTTATTCTTATGTTAATCCCCATACATTACATCATTAGTTCTAGATGAAGTGTTCCATGATTCATTGTTTGTGCATAACAC